TAGTTGTAAATTGTATTTATTAGCTTTTCAAAACTTCCCTCTGGCAGCCAGACTGGAGAGCCAAGCTCCCAAGACCACACCAGGTATTCTTGGTTAACTTTGAAATCAATGTGGCAAAAATTGCTTTTTTAAATTAAACTTAGTTCCTTGCAATGGTTATTAGAATGTAACAAGATTTCCTTTCCTCTTCCTTTTTTACTAAAAGTACATGGAATGAAAGCCAGTGCTTAGGGGAAAAATACTGAGTTGTCCCAGGTAGACAGTTCAGGTCAGTGTTGATGGTCTCCCTCTATAGATGATATTTATTACTACAAAGCTACCTAGAAGATCCACCAAGGTCAGGTCCCTTTTATACTTGGCACTGTACACACACGGTGAGAGACTCTCACTGTCCTGAAGCATCTTACCTGTATAGACATGACAGAAAAAGAAAGGGAGGAGGGGAGGATAGGTACACGGAGAGGGGAAATGCTTGGCCAGAGTCACACAGCTGGTCAGTGGTGGAGCCAGGAATAGAATCCAGATATTCTATCTTTCAGTGCAGTACCCTGTCCACAAGAGCATACTGCTTCTAACGCACCATGTTGGTTCATCTAAAACACACTGCCTTTTGTGTGGTGATTATCCTTTCAGTATTCAGATTGTGCTAATGATAGGGCAGCCCTTTTTACCCAAAACCGTCCCTGATTGCTTCTGATTTTTATTTGGTTATCACAGTGAGCCTAAAAACCTACAGGAGAGAATAGTATGGCTACTTTTGCAATTTACCGGGAAAACGCAATTAAAAATATAAAAATTCTTTTTAAAAAAATCCTTTTTCACATATATAAGGAGAAATAACTAGCATAGTCTTGTGTTTTTATACCATGTACAGTAACTATTTACTCCAGGTATTCTATTTTGTAAAATATTTTTTCAGAAAAATTGTACTGTTTTTGTATTTTAATATAGCTTCTGCAGTATGCTTCATCTTTTTTTTTTTTTCCTTTTTAGTCTCCTTTCATATCTTCACTGTCCCATCTGTTTACTATAGACCTGATCCAAAACCTGGTTAAGTTCATGGAAAGAATCCATTTGGCTTTGAGTAGGTTTGGATCAGTCCCCACTGTTCCGTGATCAGAAACAATATTCAAATGAGCAAGAGTGAGACATGTGCCTCGATTCCACTGGCAGATAGTGTGTGTGTGTGTGTGTGTGTGTGTGTGTGTGTGTGTGTGTGTGTGTGTGTATGTATGTCCCTTTCTAGGTTAAACTTTATTTGTGCGTACAGGCATCTTTCTTTTTTTAAATTTCGGTGACAGTAAGAAGTGCCATTGTGAACATATTCATAATCGATCTTGTTGCTGTGGGTCAACATCATCCCTAAGGCACATCCTTCTTTTTAAGGGTCAGTTACAATGGCCATGATAATTCTTTTAGGATTGCAGTAGTGTACACAGACACCCATCACACTAGGGATGTTAAATTTTGATTAATCAGCTAATTGAGTAGTCGATGGAATTTCCGTCGGTAAGGGGGCACTCACTATCCCACTGCGCTTCTCCCTTTGAAATGTACAAGAGCCACCTGCGGTTCTTGTATCTCTCAAAGTGAGAGAGGCAGCAGGGAGCAAAGCAGTTCCCCACTGGCACGGGTTCCCCTCTGTGTCTCTTCCTTTGAAATATACAAGAGCTGCGGGTGGCTCTTGTACATTCCAAAGGGAGAGGAGCAGCGGCGGGACCAGCACGAGTGGGACTGTTTCAATCCCTGCTTGTGCCATTTCCCCGCTGTCCCCCGCTTCCTCTGCCCCCCGCAGAGATGGTACTGTGGGGAGGAACCGACTTTTAAGCTGGGTCCCCCCAGCACCAGCTCGTGCATATTCCCTCCCCCTTTGCTGCCCCTCTCTGATAGAGGCAGAAAAGCGGGGCGGGGGGGAGGGGGGAAGCAACTAGTTGAGTTTCTACTTGACTACCCGATAAACATTTGCTTATTGGGTAGTTGACTAACTACTTACATCCCTAAAGCACACAGCTATCCCTTTGGGAGCCCTGGGTTAAGAACCCTGCATTATAACTGCATGATGGAAAGAGGTAGGAAATGGTAGGTATGAGTGGGAGAGCATTTGAATTGAGACATGAGTGGTGTCTGCATTATTTTATCCACTTAAGGTCAGAGAAGGAAAGGGGAAAATGTATGACCTGTTAGATCAGGGGTTCCCAACCTGGGGTACGTGTACCCCCAGGGGGTACGAGAAGCTTGTCAAGGAGGTACGGGGAATATTTTTGGTAAATAACTAGATTATCCTAATGGAAATATTTCCAAAGTAGTAGTAGTCAGTGAAAAAAGTTGTGAATTCTAGAGTCTCGAATTTATTTCCTTTCATATTGAATAGAGGGTACGGGAAGGTTTACTAAAAGCCAAGAAGGTACGGGGACCAAAAAAGGTTGGGACCCCCTGTATTAGATTGACCATATTGGCTATCTTGGGGCATTCAAGTATATCCAGGTAGGCGTGGGTCAGTGATTAGCAGATCCCCAAAGGACCTGGTTTACCAAGAACCTCTAGGTCCCCTTGACTTTAGAGGAACTGGAGGAGGCCCAGTGTTCCTGCAAAACAGGGCCTATATTTTCTGTGTCTTGGGGAATATTCATATAGCTGTGTATGGAATGTGAATATGGAGCAGGTGGAAGCTGAGCTGTCTAATCTCTCTTGTGTCCATTACCCTACTTAATGCACAAGTTCGCTTCCAGTTAAGAGACACTGTTAATGTTACCACGTAAAAAAAAATCTGATTTCTGTCTGAGTGTTCCTTATAATACCGTACACTACTAAAAAGACTTTCCCAACACCATTGCTAACCACCATTAAAGCTTTTTGCACTTCTTTCCACTTCGATACACCACACATTTATGGGGGTTTTACACTTTCATCAATATAGGCTGCTGTCTGAGTCGGGCTTCTGGACTATGTGGTCTGATTTAATGTATGGATAATATGGAGTACAACAATTCCTGTGTTCCTCTGATCCTAAATATAGCCTTGTTATAGACTTAACATTTTTAGTTCTTAATTAAATTTTAGCTGATATGTGTGTGTGTGTGTGTGTGTGTGTGTGTGTGTGTGGATCTCATAAACTAGCACAATGTTTGTATTGCAGGGAAATGTTATTCCTTTAAAATCCACTATTTCCGTTGAACCTGACAGTGTCTGTCTAATGCTAATGAAATGGGTTTCTTATGCAAGTTCTTTTTCTAACCATCTGTCACTTGTTCATTCTGGGTAAAATTGGCTCCTAGGTACAGGATCAACACAAGCCAGGCACCACTTAAGTCCCAAGAAACGATGCAGTCGCACTTCAGCAGTCTCTAGGGCCTTATGCAGTTTATAGCCTCTGCACAGGCCTGAAATCCACCCTGAAAGATGCCTATGTGGAATCCCCTTTCCTAATCAGTGTTTTACCCCACCTATAAAACCTAACTTCCCCCTATAACTTTCAGACATTTCCAGAGCTGTTAGCCTCTGATTCTAGGGAGTTAAGCTATGAAGGAAAGTAGGGCATTATTTTTTAATATAAATATATATGTATGGAAATCAGGCCCAGGCGATGTAACATTTCTAACCATGTTAGCACTGTGTAGATGGGGGAAGGAGGCAACAAGAAAGAGAGAGATTGGCATACTTTATAGTTCTAGGTTACAATTTCACATGTGTCCTCCATTCGTACCATGATACAGACTAGTATTTTAATACAACAAGGTTCATAGGCCAGATCTCCATGGGCATAGCTTCTGTGGAGTAGGTCTGACTTATACTGGCTGAGGAGCTTGGTCCCTGTTACTGAGATGGTCGTCTCTGCTCCAAAGTATGTGGCTGCTGTCCCAAGTCTCTTTCAGGGAGGTTCATTTTCTTAATACAAATAGGTAAAAAGAAAAAGAGGCTTCACTCAGTCCTTGCTTTCAGGTTCCAGCTCTACATCTTTCAGGTATCTGGCAGGTTCCTAGTTCGGGCCAGGTCTCCTCCTCCTTCAGGGCTCCTTCCTCAGGCACCAGCCTCAGGGCTTTCTCTGCCTCAGCTTCTGACCTCTTTGCTTCAGGGGATGCAACACTGGAGTTTGCTCCACTCTGGTGCGATTTTCCCTCCCCCAGGGCAGCGGTGGATTTAGGGCAGGGCGAGCGGGGCAGCTGCCCCGGGCCCCACGCTTCCCGAGGCCCCTCGCATGCGCTGTGGCGCCACAGTGCATGCGCCATGTCAAAGGAGGGGCCGCACGAAATTTCGCTGCCCGGGGCCCCGCGGCACACTCATCCGCCCTTGCCCCGGGTTACGATCTGTCTCATACAGTTCCTCCTATAGATGCCCACTAGCAGCCATTTAAAGGTCTAGCTATAGTTCAGCCTTCTTTAACTGGCTAGATTTGCCTTGCTGGCTCTGTTCCGGGGAGAAGGGCTCTGTCTATCCACAGGGATCACCTGTGACACCCCGTATCTTTATCTGCATGTAAATATAAGTTTAGATTAATATTTAACTCACCTTTCCCTTTTGTAATACTTATAAAAAGTGACTTTTTAGTCACTTTTAGTCACTTACAGTGTCTAGACACAGTTACAGCGTAGGACAAATACATGAATAATATTAATTGCCACACCCAGAAGGATTTGCACAAAGTATTGGGGCTCTAGATTCTAGCTAGTGCCAAGAGACCATTGTACAAAACCCACACACAAAAGAACAGAAGTATATTTAGTATTTTTATACTGTAACTAAAATATTTCATTCTCAAAGCACTAATTAAAAAGGGAATGCTTTGTACTTGGAAGGTGAAATAGCAGGTCATTGCTTTGGTAACTTGGAATAAAGCAGTGTATTTTAGAGGTGCTTTGTTCAGCTACTATAT